AAAAGGAGCAAGATGCTGGCAGACCGAGCTACCTGTGGCGCACACGTATCCTGACTTTGCTCCCCAAGGATGTAGAGGAGGAGGCTTTGCAGAATTAAGATTCAGCTACCAACCAGTCCGCTTCTGTAGGTGGAGTGGCACAGCGCCATCCTGTCCTTTGCCCTGGGCCTGCCACCCAGAGTACCGCCGGTTGGAGCACCACTGGCCCGCTGGGGAGGTGTCCACGGCCAGCCCATCTGTGTTTCTCCCACACACAGTGACAGCTTCAACCACACTCCTCCTCTCTCACCAGCACTGGGGATTTCAGGGAAGGCATCTTGAGCCAGAGAGCGCCTAGAAAAGAGAAAGTTATTCTCCTCTTTAACTGCACTTCTAGCTTTCATTTATCAGGAGGGGAGAGGAAGAAAACGTCCCAGTGCAAGCAGCTATGACAGGCTGGCATTGGACACGCACAAGCGGGCAAGGTTTGAGGGCTTGGTATCAGAACGCGCACCCCAGAGGAGTTCATCCTTACTTTCTGGGAAGCAGACGCGTCAATAAGGTATGATTTGCATGTCCTCACATCCCAATTGTTGGTCTTTCGAGATGGAAACTCTGCCATGAGCCCTGCAGAGCGTTGGTTTTTCACTTCTCTCTTGAGAAAGATCCAAAAGGAAGAGCAGGGTACGCAAACGCTGATTGTGCAGTTTTGTAGCCAGGAAGGAGTACCGCGCAGAAGGGAATTCCTCTGCAACAAAAGGACTTCACTCTGCAAAGTGAAGTAGCAGCGAAGAGTTGCCGGTGAAGTAGCCAATCTCCTTGGAAATGGTATTTGAAGCAAGAACACACTGGGAGCGTGTTGGCTCATCATTTGGCGGAGGCTACTGGTGAGAAAGGAAGGAGGGCGTTTTGTATCTGATGAGCTGAGTGGACCTTCCATTGGACCAGGTTTGCCCAAGGTATGGCAGGCCAGTGTCATTGTTCCTCTCCCTTTTCAGGTTGTCAAGTTACCAGACTGTACTTCCAGCGATCTTCTGGGCAAAAAGCAGCGCTGGCCGATATCCACTTCTTGTGATCCAATTTAAACCAGAAAGTTGAGATTAAGAACTCCCCTTCTGAGATCTGCATTGCTCTTATGTCGCAAATTGATTCTGAGCTTTTAAATTCAGTGAATTGTCTCATTTTTAGCTCCTCTCTTGGGGGCTTCTTTAGGAGATTTGTTTCTAAAATAATATTGGATGAATGCTCTCTTCCCTTTCTGCAGTTACTTTACAGCGGAAGTATTTTTAAGGTCTTGGCGGGATTAGGAGGCTTGTATTGCGAGCGTTATTAATCAGCATATTCCGATGGAAGGCCTGCTTTCTGCAAGGCATTTGGTTCTTTGGCTACTCCGTCTTCATTCACTTATTGGCTCCAGTGCGAAAGGCTCTCTTGTCCCGGTCTCTTCAAGCCCTCCTCTCAGGGTGGTCTTTTGGTGGGCTGGAATTGTCATGCACCCCTCCAGTGTTTGCAGTCACGACAAACAGAGTGACACCCAAACAGTGGGAAATTAGCTGTGACTGGTATGCATCCAACGTTCTCGTTCAGACCAAATCCTGAACGTACAAACAGTGCTGTGCGTGCATACATGGATTTGTCAACCATGAAAGGAGATACAGTAAGTTGTACGGCAGTCAATGTATCACTTACCCCTCAGTTGGTAAGTGAGGCATAAAATGCAGTCTTCACCCCCATCTTGGTTTGTGCCAAATGTTTGTGCTAAGACATGCTTTTCCAGGTTTTAAAGCAGCCCAGTGGTTCTTTCCCTTAAAAATGGAAGCACTGGGCCATTGGACATTGGCATGAGGGTCGCAGCGAACCAGTGACTCTTCTGCACCATGCTGAAAATCTGTGGGCCTCTGGCTGTTTGGGGCTACAACTCCCATGACCTCTCACAGTGGTGGGTAGGGTTGATGGGAGTTGCAAGCCGAAGCAGCTGGAGCACCATGAATGCCTCACCTCCGCTCCAAGTATTAATGGTCCTTCTTGTGCACACCTGCAGGCAAAGGTTAGATCCTGCTCCTCTGGGACACCACTCCAAAGACCAGTGCTTCTAATAGGACCCTTCCAGCCTGAGATGGTTCCCACCTCGATCTACACAGTGGCATTCTTGGAGTACTTCACAAGATCACTGTTAACAAATCATGGTCAATCATCTCTCTTTGGCCAGTTGGTTGACTTTCGTGACCACCTGGCCTCAAGAGCTGCAAATCCCTATGCATGGGCTCAGCTCAGGTGTTTCCCACCTGGCCACCCTGCCTCTTGGCAAGCCCTAGTAGAGAGGAGAAGCAGTTTTTATTTGCGGTACTACCTCTGCAGACTGGCGCTAGCTTGAGGGCTTGCCAATGAATCCCAAGTTGCCGACAGCTCTCAGGAGGGCTGCCCAGAGCGTGGAGAGAGGCAGTCTTCACATGACACGACCTGAAGCTGCTTCCACTCAGAGGTGCTGTGTCCGTCACTCTCTGACATAGGCCTTCTGGAGGGCTGTCAGCAAGACCTTATATCCACTTTACTGAACTGAAAAAGCAAAGTCTGCAAGTTAATAAGGGGGCCTCAGAATATCTCAGCAGGACATTTTCCTCCATGAGCAAAAGCACCAAATGTTAGTTTGACATTTAATCGTTAATATTGTAACAGTGCTCTGCTTTGCCAATGCTGCTCAGTGCAGAGGAGTTACTTTCTTGGATTCTCCTCCCCAGCCGCACTGATCCTGCTCACTTTCCCCTCCTCTAAAGGCCGGTGATGCCAGCACACAAATCCCTCCCCAGCCCCTGTAATAATTTTGTCTCCTCCGTTTGCCAACGGCCGCTGTTTGCCACGATGTCTCTGCCAGGTTCCATTACTTATAATACTAACATGCAGTTAACACGTCATGGAGGGAATTCCACTACGCTGTGGGGTTATTCTATTTGTTGGCCAACAGGGTGTCCTCATGTTCTGCGACTCCCATGCTAGTTGCGGCATGCTGGGAGTTGGAGTCCGAGACATCTGGAGGACACTGCATTGGAGAAAGCTGCTGCAATGGCGGCACAGTCACAGCCGCTGCTTAGTTTAGGACTTCCTTGCCCAGATGTATCTCATGCCTTCCTGTCAAAAGATCTCTGTTTTCTGGCATGGGAGGCTGCTGAGAGGTAGAGAGAGTTGTCCAGCGGCATGGAGGGCTCTGGGGGAGGGCCCGATTTCTAAGCAGCGATGCTTCCTTGACCTTCTAGTTTCTCGAAATAAGCCCACTCGTCGTGTGCCTCCAAGAGGTGTGACTCTTGCAAGATGCAGGCAGAAAGCTAATGCAAAATGCTGCAGGCACATAACGCACAGCGAGGGAGGCGGCAGGTGGAAGGGCTCCTGGTTGTACCTGCAGGCTAGAGGCCAGTTTGACCTCTGGGGACACTCGGCACGCTTGCATCTTTAGCGGACTGAAAGAATTCAAAGCTGCTGAAAGGCTGGCCATGGTACTAGAGTCTTCTTTTTCGCTTTGCCTGGAGACAGCAGGCAGAACAGTGCTCTGCCATTTGTTAGTTGGGAAGAGTGGGCCCATGGGCTTTCAGTGTTTATCCCAATTTCTGTGCATTTTTCAGATACTTCCATTAGTTATTTTGCAACCCAAACATCTCTAGACGTTGCAAATAGCCCAATAACAGCAAAGGTGTATTTAATAACAGTCTTGCTAGAACACACGTTTCTGGGTTTGTGTTATAGTTGGAGTTATTTCAGAGCATCTTGTTCAGTGTAATTAAGCAAGCGATTTCGAAAGGTCAGGAAGGATCAGCTGACAAGATGGTACTCCTTGCCTCAAAATAGATCAGGAGGGAGGGAGGAAGCATCAAAAGGTAAAGCCGCGAGCTCTTTCTCGCTTTGTAGCAAGCCACCTCCAGCTGAATCTCCAACCTTCTCTTCTTCCACCAGATAGTTGTAGGAAAGAGGTACCTAAGGACTTTAAACTGTAGGACTGGGCTTCCTCTTCCATCTCTCTCTCTCTCTCTCTCTCTCTCTCTCTCTCTCTCTCTCTCTCTCTCTCTCTCTCTCTCTCTGTCTCTCTCTC